TATCACGATCTTCATTCAAAATTGTGCCATATTCAAATATTTTGATCTTCTTATTCACGCCAGCAGTCGCAAAAAATTCGCCATCGCGATCGAAACTCAGAGAACATACTAGATTGGAGGTATTTAAAAGATCCCCTTGCTTCAAATCTGCTTTAACTTTTAATTTACTGAAAGACAGATACTTGCACAACCCCTCGAGGAATGAATTTATCCATCCACTTTGTCTAGCTTCACTAAACTGGTCATTCAAGGGCAAATTATTGACAGAACTTCTTTCAGTAACAACAATGGACCCTCTACCATCACTGCTTACTGGAGACTGTCGAGTTAACGATTTCCCTGTTGGCTTTACAGGCCTTTGTCTTGTCAAAAAATAAGCTGACTCCAGTTTCTTAAAGTTCTTCATCAATCGAGAACTTTTTGAGAGAATACTTCCTTGATTCTCAGCTGGAGCTTCTGAATTCTGACCTTCATGTAGATGACCACCATATTCCGATGCATTATGACTCTGAAGCCCTTGTCTGTACCTCTTTCTAGACCCCGAGCAACTAGAATCTTCATTTTCAACAAATTCCATTGAAGGGGGACCAGAAGCAGAATCCTTGCCCAGTTCTGGACAAGAGCACCCTTTTCCCCAAAGAATTGACTGCTGCTTTGAAACTTCATCTATATCAGAAGATACAAGGGAAATTGTATCTTGCAACTTATCTGCAGCTTCCTGTTTTCTTTGTTGTATCAGCAAAAGGCATTCCAGCAACAACTCCTGCTCCTCTATTCCCTCCCGAAGCTCTATTGCTGCTTCACGTTCTTCTATATTCTCTCTTGGTTCATTCAGAAAGTTACTTTGTAACAACTCACTGATGTACATGGTAAGAGAAAATGAAAGAAAAACTATCCAATCCCATGTGCAACCTCTCAAGAAATTGATACATTAATTCTATGAATAAAAAGTACAACATATATAAAATACCTCAAGTAGCATGTGAAGAAGTAGAAAGGAAAAAAAATCCCAACAAATTGAGAGAGCCAACAACTATTGGAAGCCCTTCCCATTACTTCAAAAAGAGAAGAAAAAAAAATGCTTACCACTTATTGCTAGTAATTTTGTACTAATAAGCTTGATTGCTTCAAATCGCTTATATAAGCACATTAATTGTTCAGGCAATGATAATAAGAACAGAACAAAATATAGCAGCACTCTCAACCCATGCCATGATAATTTATATATGTGCACATACATGTATGTATTTATAGATATATACCTTCACATTTGTGTGGCCGGTGAATGAGTGAAGAGGACTGTCAAGAACCCGGGATGAGGCCATTGACAAATCCCAAAGCTTCAGTGTGTTGTCTGTCGATGCAGAAACAAGATTTGTTGAATCTATGAACTTCACGTAGCTCACAGTTTTGTTGTGTCCAATCATTGTACACAGTGGCATTTTTGTGTTACGGAGATCATAGTAATAAATTCTATGATCCGCTGAACCAAATGCAAGGTAACGACTAGAATCAACAGGAAACTGAACACAGCAGACATTGGCCTTCGTTTTGATGGTACCAACACTTACTCCCTGCAGTAGCAACCCATGTAAGAGAAACAACTAATTATACATCCAGAATAAAATCTACACAGCAATGGTAATTAGATGACTGCAGTACGTTTAGTTTCAAAGCTGACATCCACCAAGTGCAAAAATAGAATTGCCTGATTGATATTCCAGAGCTTAACAGAACCGTCATCACTCCCGCTGGCCAACATTGTTGGATCTGCTAATGAGAAGTCGACAGACCACACGCGCCTTTCATGCTCTCTCATTTCCATAAAAACTTGACTTCTTGTAACATCCCATACCTGAAGATATGTTAGATAAACCACTTATTGTCATTACAAAATACAGAAAGCGTATAAGTAAATGAGATGAAAGGCTTGACCTACCTGCACCACACCTTCAAAGTTACTAGAAGCAATCTGGCTTTTGATATAACTATTCCAACATATACTGCTCAGCTTTGACCTACTGACCAATTCAACTACAGGATAATGGATATCACGATCTTCATTCAAAATTGTGCCATATTCAAATATTTTGATCTTCTTATTCACGCCAGCAGTCGCAAAAAATTCGCCATCGCGATCGAAACTCAGAGAACATACTAGATTGGAGGTATTTAAAAGATCCCCTTGCTTCAAATCTGCTTTAACTTTTAATTTACTGAAAGACAGATACTTGCACAACCCCTCGAGGAATGAATTTATCCATCCACTTTGTCTAGCTTCACTAAACTGGTCATTCAAGGGCAAATTATTGACAGAACTTCTTTCAGTAACAACAATGGACCCTCTACCATCACTGCTTACTGGAGACTGTCGAGTTAACGATTTCCCTGTTGGCTTTACAGGCCTTTGTCTTGTCAAAAAATAAGCTGACTCCAGTTTCTTAAAGTTCTTCATCAATCGAGAACTTTTTGAGAGAATACTTCCTTGATTCTCAGCTGGAGCTTCTGAATTCTGACCTTCATGTAGATGACCACCATATTCCGATGCATTATGACTCTGAAGCCCTTGTCTGTACCTCTTTCTAGACCCCGAGCAACTAGAATCTTCATTTTCAACAAATTCCATTGAAGGGGGACCAGAAGCAGAATCCTTGCCCAGTTCTGGACAAGAGCACCCTTTTCCCCAAAGAATTGACTGCTGCTTTGAAACTTCATCTATATCAGAAGATACAAGGGAAATTGTATCTTGCAACTTATCTGCAGCTTCCTGTTTTCTTTGTTGTATCAGCAAAAGGCATTCCAGCAACAACTCCTGCTCCTCTATTCCCTCCCGAAGCTCTATTGCTGCTTCACGTTCTTCTATATTCTCTCTTGGTTCATTCAGAAAGTTACTTTGTAACAACTCACTGATGTACATGGTAAGAGAAAATGAAAGAAAAACTATCCAATCCCATGTGCAACCTCTCAAGAAATTGATACATTAATTCTATGAATAAAAAGTACAACATATATAAAATACCTCAAGTAGCATGTGAAGAAGTAGAAAGGAAAAAAAATCCCAACAAATTGAGAGAGCCAACAACTATTGGAAGCCCTTCCCATTACTTCAAAAAGAGAAGAAAAAAAAATGCTTACCACTTATTGCTAGTAATTTTGTACTAATAAGCTTGATTGCTTCAAATCGCTTATATAAGCACATTAATTGTTCAGGCAATGATAATAAGAACAGAACAAAATATAGCAGCACTCTCAACCCATGCCATGATAATTTATATATGTGCACATACATGTATGTATTTATAGATATATACCTTCACATTTGTGTGGCCGGTGAATGAGTGAAGAGGACTGTCAAGAACCCGGGATGAGGCCATTGACAAATCCCAAAGCTTCAGTGTGTTGTCTGTCGATGCAGAAACAAGATTTGTTGAATCTATGAACTTCACGTAGCTCACAGTTTTGTTGTGTCCAATCATTGTACACAGTGGCATTTTTGTGTTACGGAGATCATAGTAATAAATTCTATGATCCGCTGAACCAAATGCAAGGTAACGACTAGAATCAACAGGAAACTGAACACAGCAGACATTGGCCTTCGTTTTGATGGTACCAACACTTACTCCCTGCAGTAGCAACCCATGTAAGAGAAACAACTAATTATACATCCAGAATAAAATCTACACAGCAATGGTAATTAGATGACTGCAGTACGTTTAGTTTCAAAGCTGACATCCACCAAGTGCAAAAATAGAATTGCCTGATTGATATTCCAGAGCTTAACAGAACCGTCATCACTCCCGCTGGCCAACATTGTTGGATCTGCTAATGAGAAGTCGACAGACCACACGCGCCTTTCATGCTCTCTCATTTCCATAAAAACTTGACTTCTTGTAACATCCCATACCTGAAGATATGTTAGATAAACCACTTATTGTCATTACAAAATACAGAAAGCGTATAAGTAAATGAGATGAAAGGCTTGACCTACCTGCACCACACCTTCAAAGTTACTAGAAGCAATCTGGCTTTTGATATAACTATTCCAACATATACTGCTCAGCTTTGACCTACTGACCAATTCAACTACAGGATAATGGATATCACGATCTTCATTCAAAATTGTGCCATATTCAAATATTTTGATCTTCTTATTCACGCCAGCAGTCGCAAAAAATTCGCCATCGCGATCGAAACTCAGAGAACATACTAGATTGGAGGTATTTAAAAGATCCCCTTGCTTCAAATCTGCTTTAACTTTTAATTTACTGAAAGACAGATACTTGCACAACCCCTCGAGGAATGAATTTATCCATCCACTTTGTCTAGCTTCACTAAACTGGTCATTCAAGGGCAAATTATTGACAGAACTTCTTTCAGTAACAACAATGGACCCTCTACCATCACTGCTTACTGGAGACTGTCGAGTTAACGATTTCCCTGTTGGCTTTACAGGCCTTTGTCTTGTCAAAAAATAAGCTGACTCCAGTTTCTTAAAGTTCTTCATCAATCGAGAACTTTTTGAGAGAATACTTCCTTGATTCTCAGCTGGAGCTTCTGAATTCTGACCTTCATGTAGATGACCACCATATTCCGATGCATTATGACTCTGAAGCCCTTGTCTGTACCTCTTTCTAGACCCCGAGCAACTAGAATCTTCATTTTCAACAAATTCCATTGAAGGGGGACCAGAAGCGGAATCCTTGCCCAGTTCTGGACAAGAGCACCCTTTTCCCCAAAGAATTGACTGCTGCTTTGAAACTTCATCTATATCAGAAGATACAAGGGAAATTGTATCTTGCAACTTATCTGCAGCTTCCTGTTTTCTTTGTTGTATCAGCAAAAGGCATTCCAGCAACAACTCCTGCTCCTCTATTCCCTCCCGAAGCTCTATTGCTGCTTCACGTTCTTCTATATTCTCTCTTGGTTCATTCAGAAAGTTACTTTGTAACAACTCACTGATGTACATGGTAAGAGAAAATGAAAGAAAAACTATCCAATCCCATGTGCAACCTCTCAAGAAATTGATACATTAATTCTATGAATAAAAAGTACAACATATATAAAATACCTCAAGTAGCATGTGAAGAAGTAGAAAGGAAAAAAAATCCCAACAAATTGAGAGAGCCAACAACTATTGGAAGCCCTTCCCATTACTTCAAAAAGAGAAGAAAAAAAAATGCTTACCACTTATTGCTAGTAATTTTGTACTAATAAGCTTGATTGCTTCAAATCGCTTATATAAGCACATTAATTGTTCAGGCAATGATAATAAGAACAGAACAAAATATAGCAGCACTCTCAACCCATGCCATGATAATTTATATATGTGCACATACATGTATGTATTTATAGATATATACCTTCACATTTGTGTGGCCGGTGAATGAGTGAAGAGGACTGTCAAGAACCCGGGATGAGGCCATTGACAAATCCCAAAGCTTCAGTGTGTTGTCTGTCGATGCAGAAACAAGATTTGTTGAATCTATGAACTTCACGTAGCTCACAGTTTTGTTGTGTCCAATCATTGTACACAGTGGCATTTTTGTGTTACGGAGATCATAGTAATAAATTCTATGATCCGCTGAACCAAATGCAAGGTAACGACTAGAATCAACAGGAAACTGAACACAGCAGACATTGGCCTTCGTTTTGATGGTACCAACACTTACTCCCTGCAGTAGCAACCCATGTAAGAGAAACAACTAATTATACATCCAGAATAAAATCTACACAGCAATGGTAATTAGATGACTGCAGTACGTTTAGTTTCAAAGCTGACATCCACCAAGTGCAAAAATAGAATTGCCTGATTGATATTCCAGAGCTTAACAGAACCGTCATCACTCCCGCTGGCCAACATTGTTGGATCTGCTAATGAGAAGTCGACAGACCACACGCGCCTTTCATGCTCTCTCATTTCCATAAAAACTTGACTTCTTGTAACATCCCATACCTGAAGATATGTTAGATAAACCACTTATTGTCATTACAAAATACAGAAAGCGTATAAGTAAATGAGATGAAAGGCTTGACCTACCTGCACCACACCTTCAAAGTTACTAGAAGCAATCTGGCTTTTGATATAACTATTCCAACATATACTGCTCAGCTTTGACCTACTGACCAATTCAACTACAGGATAATGGATATCACGATCTTCATTCAAAATTGTGCCATATTCAAATATTTTGATCTTCTTATTCACGCCAGCAGTCGCAAAAAATTCGCCATCGCGATCGAAACTCAGAGAACATACTAGATTGGAGGTATTTAAAAGATCCCCTTGCTTCAAATCTGCTTTAACTTTTAATTTACTGAAAGACAGATACTTGCACAACCCCTCGAGGAATGAATTTATCCATCCACTTTGTCTAGCTTCACTAAACTGGTCATTCAAGGGCAAATTATTGACAGAACTTCTTTCAGTAACAACAATGGACCCTCTACCATCACTGCTTACTGGAGACTGTCGAGTTAACGATTTCCCTGTTGGCTTTACAGGCCTTTGTCTTGTCAAAAAATAAGCTGACTCCAGTTTCTTAAAGTTCTTCATCAATCGAGAACTTTTTGAGAGAATACTTCCTTGATTCTCAGCTGGAGCTTCTGAATTCTGACCTTCATGTAGATGACCACCATATTCCGATGCATTATGACTCTGAAGCCCTTGTCTGTACCTCTTTCTAGACCCCGAGCAACTAGAATCTTCATTTTCAACAAATTCCATTGAAGGGGGACCAGAAGCGGAATCCTTGCCCAGTTCTGGACAAGAGCACCCTTTTCCCCAAAGAATTGACTGCTGCTTTGAAACTTCATCTATATCAGAAGATACAAGGGAAATTGTATCTTGCAACTTATCTGCAGCTTCCTGTTTTCTTTGTTGTATCAGCAAAAGGCATTCCAGCAACAACTCCTGCTCCTCTATTCCCTCCCGAAGCTCTATTGCTGCTTCACGTTCTTCTATATTCTCTCTTGGTTCATTCAGAAAGTTACTTTGTAACAACTCACTGATGTACATGGTAAGAGAAAATGAAAGAAAAACTATCATGTAAGGCCAAAAATCACAAAAGACAGAACATGCTAATTGAATGCAACTCTGAAAGTTAAACAGTGCAAGATCTATATCTTAGTTTTTATAGTGGCCTGGCATTTCAATCCACAGTTATCTTAAACTTGTATAAGTTTCCCTAAAAAAATAAAGCCCAATTAGTACACATTAATGTGTGTTTGGGAAGGAAAAGATTGAGTACACATCTAATCTTTGGCATAGTGCATATTTATATACATATAAAAATACATACAATATTTAAAATAAAGTAAATTATCAATATCACTAAATTATATATGTATATGCATATAAAACACATATATCAATATAAATAATTAATCTCTTTTATATATCTTCATAGTTTAGTGAAAAATTACGTTGTTTCATGTATTATGTAAACAAAAAAAAAAATAGTACTAAATCGCAGTGAATCACAATGAATCGTAAATTGAATCGTACAATTCACTCAATTTCTGATTCAACAACATGATTCGAATCGTTTCTGTTGAAACTCGTATCGAATCGTATGAATCGAATTGTGAATTGTACGATTCTAACAACCATGGCTGGATATAAATTATGTGTAACTGACGCATGTCTATCCTTCAAAATCATATTTTTAGTTTGGTGAATAATAACAAAAGTTATATTGAGAACTTATAAATTGTAGTGGGCAGGGAAACCTTGGCCTATAACCTTGAGGTTATGGGTTTAAGTCTCGGGGCAACTACTTTGTCTACTATGCCAAAGGTTAGGTGTGTATCCAATCCTTTCCCTCCCAAACACACATTAATGTGTACTAATTGGGCTTTATTTTTTTAGGGAAACTTATACAAGTTTAAGATAACTGTGGATTGAAATGCCAGGCCACTATAAAAACTAAGATATAGATCTTGCACTGTTTAACTTTCAGAGTTGCATTCAATTAGCATGTTCTGTCTTTTGTGATTTTTGGCCTTACATGATAGTTTTTCTTTCATTTTCTCTTACCATGTACATCAGTGAGTTGTTACAAAGTAACTTTCTGAATGAACCAAGAGAGAATATAGAAGAACGTGAAGCAGCAATAGAGCTTCGGGAGGGAATAGAGGAGCAGGAGTTGTTGCTGGAATGCCTTTTGCTGATACAACAAAGAAAACAGGAAGCTGCAGATAAGTTGCAAGATACAATTTCCCTTGTATCTTCTGATATAGATGAAGTTTCAAAGCAGCAGTCAATTCTTTGGGGAAAAGGGTGCTCTTGTCCAGAACTGGGCAAGGATTCTGCTTCTGGTCCCCCTTCAATGGAATTTGTTGAAAATGAAGATTCTAGTTGCTCGGGGTCTAGAAAGAGGTACAGACAAGGGCTTCAGAGTCATAATGCATCGGAATATGGTGGTCATCTACATGAAGGTCAGAATTCAGAAGCTCCAGCTGAGAATCAAGGAAGTATTCTCTCAAAAAGTTCTCGATTGATGAAGAACTTTAAGAAACTGGAGTCAGCTTATTTTTTGACAAGACAAAGGCCTGTAAAGCCAACAGGGAAATCGTTAACTCGACAGTCTCCAGTAAGCAGTGATGGTAGAGGGTCCATTGTTGTTACTGAAAGAAGTTCTGTCAATAATTTGCCCTTGAATGACCAGTTTAGTGAAGCTAGACAAAGTGGATGGATAAATTCATTCCTCGAGGGGTTGTGCAAGTATCTGTCTTTCAGTAAATTAAAAGTTAAAGCAGATTTGAAGCAAGGGGATCTTTTAAATACCTCCAATCTAGTATGTTCTCTGAGTTTCGATCGCGATGGCGAATTTTTTGCGACTGCTGGCGTGAATAAGAAGATCAAAATATTTGAATATGGCACAATTTTGAATGAAGATCGTGATATCCATTATCCTGTAGTTGAATTGGTCAGTAGGTCAAAGCTGAGCAGTATATGTTGGAATAGTTATATCAAAAGCCAGATTGCTTCTAGTAACTTTGAAGGTGTGGTGCAGGTAGGTCAAGCCTTTCATCTCATTTACTTATAAGCTTTCTGTATTTTGTAATGACAATAAGTGGTTTATCTAACATATCTTCAGGTATGGGATGTTACAAGAAGTCAAGTTTTTATGGAAATGAGAGAGCATGAAAGGCGCGTGTGGTCTGTCGACTTCTCATTAGCAGATCCAACAATGTTGGCCAGCGGGAGTGATGACGGTTCTGTTAAGCTCTGGAATATCAATCAGGCAATTCTATTTTTGCACTTGGTGGATGTCAGCTTTGAAACTAAACGTACTGCAGTCATCTAATTACCATTGCTGTGTAGATTTTATTCTGGATGTATAATTAGTTGTTTCTCTTACATGGGTTGCTACTGCAGGGAGTAAGTGTTGGTACCATCAAAACGAAGGCCAATGTCTGCTGTGTTCAGTTTCCTGTTGATTCTAGTCGTTACCTTGCATTTGGTTCAGCAGATCATAGAATTTATTACTATGATCTCCGTAACACAAAAATGCCACTGTGTACAATGATTGGACACAACAAAACTGTGAGCTACGTGAAGTTCATAGATTCAACAAATCTTGTTTCTGCATCGACAGACAACACACTGAAGCTTTGGGATTTGTCAATGGCCTCATCCCGGGTTCTTGACAGTCCTCTTCACTCATTCACCGGCCACACAAATGTGAAGGTATATATCTATAAATACATACATGTATGTGCACATATATAAATTATCATGGCATGGGTTGAGAGTGCTGCTATATTTTGTTCTGTTCTTATTATCATTGCCTGAACAATTAATGTGCTTATATAAGCGATTTGAAGCAATCAAGCTTATTAGTACAAAATTACTAGCAATAAGTGGTAAGCATTTTTTTTTCTTCTCTTTTTGAAGTAATGGGAAGGGCTTCCAATAGTTGTTGGCTCTCTCAATTTGTTGGGATTTTTTTTCCTTTCTAGTTCTTCACATGCTACTTGAGGTATTTTATATATGTTGTACTTTTTATTCATAGAATTAATGTATCAATTTCTTGAGAGGTTGCACATGGGATTGGTGTATTTTGGTATTTTGTTCATACCATTTGTTGATTCTTTAATTTCTTAACTTATCTTGCACCATGGATGTGCACACAAATATTCGAGGAGAAAAAAAGGAAGAACAGCACATTTCAATAATTCTAAGATGGAAGTTAGAATTTCATAGTAACCATAATTGGCTCTTGTATATTTTTTCTGGCAACTTTCCTGGTTTTCACAGACTTGGTCCAGTAAAGAAGAAAAAGGTGATTAGTGAATTTGGATGAAGATGCCACACACAGTCACATCTGTAGTGAAGATGGACAACTTACGTATCCAGTATTCCTTAGGACAAGAAATTTTTTAACCACTACACATTGACATTTGTGTAAAATTTATGACCTAAATTATATGTCTTAGTTTTGAATAGAGTGTAATCTTTATTTATCAAAAAAATTATGAGCTAAATCTTATCTATCAGAAAAATTCGTGTGGTATAGCTCAGAGTTGGAAACAGGAAAGGTAAGGAAATGCCACATTCTAAGTTTCAGACACATTAGAACAACATACCAATAACAGAACCCTAACAGAAACCTAAATTCCACATGAAAAACTTCAAAATTAAAAATCCAAGTGCTCTGTAGTCAAAGTCCCTAGTTTATTTCTATTGAATTGGATCGGATAGGATAATCAATAACCAGAATTTTTAAAAAATAAAATAAAATAAAATAAAATTCAATATCTTCATTGACCCTAAAGTAAAGATATGCCTGCATTGTATAGATAAACATCCAAACATCAATAATTGCAAAGCATCCCTCAAAGTATCAGGAAAACCCCAAGATCCAACAAAGAAAAATTTGAAGTGACCCTAATCAATAATAGTAATTCGCAGACAAAGATTTAAGAATTATAATTCGAAAATAAAACCCCAAATCCTGAAGTTACCAAAACCCTAGATCTGTAAATAACCTTTCTCAAATTCAACAAGCAATCAAGGGCCACATTAAAAAATCTAAAACAGCATATATATCCATTACACAAAAACACTCAAAACCCTAAATCAATACATCCAACCCAAGATTTCAAAACCAAGAACGGCCATTAAAATTACAAAAAAAAAAAAAAATAAAAAATCTGTATATACCTGCTTGTACTTCTTTTGCCTCTTCCCATCCGCAGTCTCGATCACAAACTCCGTCGAAAATATATTCGTAAGCTTTGCTCCGTACCCGTTCCTCCCACCAGTCGTCTTCTTCGTCAAATCGTCGTAATTACTACTCGTCAGGAGGTGCCCGAAGATCATCTCGGGCACATAAACCCCTTCCTCCTGATGAATCTCCACTGGAACACCATCCCCATTGTTGTAAACACTAACACAGTTCTGTTCCACATCGATCGTCACCTTGACGGATATAAGTTGAAAAAAAATACCTAGATGAATTAGAAATGGCGAAGACTGACGGCGGCACAGACGGACGGCAAGGTCGATTGGCGCAACTGAGCTTTGATCGAATTCGACTGAGGTGTGTGAAAGAGGCGCGTATTTTAGGATTTATGTGTTTGAATTAGTAAATTATCCCCTACCAATTTTTTTGGTCGGCTGATGTCTGTATGGGAATTTAGATACCAAAACGACGTCGTTTTGGTATCAGCGACTAAATTATATTGGTCGCTGAAAGATCATTCAGCTCCAGCCCAGATTTTATTCTCCTGCCCAGATTTTTGGCGACAAAATTTGTAATTTGGTCGCCAAAAATTACTTATTTGCAACAAAAAAAATTTGGTCGGTAATAGAAAAAATTTTTAGCTACGAAATTTTAATTTGGTCGGCAAATGTTATTTTTTTGCGACCAAAATTTTTTTGGTCGGCAAAAGTGGTCGGCAAATGTGTAAATTCTTGTAGTGTAATCAAGTCATTTACAAAATCTACAAAGGCCAACACATCTAAATCTACTAAAACCGTAATCCAACTATGAAGCATAGTTAACAAATGCCTCTCCATCCATGGAACTAACTAAAACACACCCTAAAAAGTATGCTTGTTGCGCTCCAACCAAACCAGCCACATTAAACACCAGCCAGCAAGTAACCACGCCTTCTAACGCCTCTTTCCAACCTTTCCCTAGCCCAACTCTGCAGCACCTCCATCACTGACCTTGGTTGGACCCAAACCAAACCGAAAGTCGCAACAATAAACATCCACAACTGTGAAGTGACAGGACAATGAATAAGCAAATGATCTACTAACTCCGTGTCCCCACAACACATATAGCACCAGTTAACTAAAATATAACGCCTCCGAATCAAATTATCAATATTCAGAATACACCCTAAAGCCGCCGTCCAGACAAAAACACTACTTTGGATGGACTCCCAGGCACATTTCCAAGGAAACAACACAACCTCCCCACCCACCAATAAATGATAAAATGAAGACATTGAGAAAACCCCTTTAGACCCCAAATAAACCTAGACCAAAGTATCCTCATCTCTTCCCTCATAACGTAAACCATATAAAGACCCCAAAAGGTCCACCTATTGACCTACCAAAATGTTGGAATTAGGAAATAGTGATATTATAATTATAGTAGTGTTGGAATTAGGAAATAGTGATATTATAATTATGGTAGTGTGTATAAAATCTGTGATTATGTCAATCACAGATTTAATGCTTTTTTTTATCTTCGTTTCCTATTTTATTTGTTTCCTATTTTGTAATATTGTTTCATTATAAATACAAGGCTCTACCTCATTCATAGGTAAGCCAAATAATTCTTTTCATTCTTTTTGATATCAGAGTCAAAACACAGAAACCCTACACCACCCCCTCCTCCCAGTCGGCCCCAGTTCTTCACTGCCCAGTAGTTTCTTCATCTTCATTCTTCTTCCTTCAGCAGTCAACAGACCTCCTCTCCCCTCTAGACCACCCAACAGCCTAACCCACCACTCCTAAACCACCCAAAACCACTTACCCACCACTCCTAAACCACCCAAAACCACTTACCCACCATCCTATACCCCTCAGTAGGACTGTATTATACATGCCGAAGGCCTTACTACTGCCGACCAAGTCTCATCTTGGCCTAGAGTACTTTGACACCCTCTTTAGGCTGATCTGAACCCTTTTTCTCTCTTTTACAAGGTACAATGTTGATGCTTTAAGCACATTTCTAGACCTCTTTTTGCCTTTTCTTTTTGTGGGCTACCAGGTTTATTCAGTAGCATTTAGCTACTAAGTTTTTTTCAACTTTTCTGGTTGTTTACTGAAGGTTTAAAAGAGAATAATTATTCTCATATATTTCAAACATAATCTGTACGGGGCTATAAATAAAGTACAAGAAGTTGACTTTTAAGAATCTAAATAAGGAAGCAACCTAATTCTAGCCAACATAAATGAGTTCAGCTATATAACATTTAATAAGGAAAGAATAACAGGCTGTTATACAGGTTTTATAAACCCTAAGAAGATCCATATTCCAACACTCTCCCTCAAGCTGGTGTGTAGATATCATGCATTCCTAGCTTGCTCGTGATTCATTGAAAACTTAGGCTAGGTAGTCCTTTAGTGAGAATATCAGCTAGTTGATTGGTGGATGATACATGTGGAGTTCTCACTTGACCACTATCAATATTCTCTTTTATGAAGTGTGTGGACACCCCATTTTTTACCACCCGCAAGGCTCGAGCACTTTGCTCGGTACACTAGATGATGAAAGTGGTATTGTGCATGGCTCGAGGTCTCAATGAAGGAGCCTTGTTTAAGCTTCGAAACAACCCCAAACCTCTCATATTCCCATTAATTATACCCAAAAAATCCTCTTTTACACCTTGTGCCACCCTATGTTGAGGCTGAAACAAAAAAACAGGGGAATACATTGAGGCTCGGCCATGCCTCATTGACGGCTAACCGTGGCTATTGAGGGTTGACCGGGCCTTGGTAGCGAGAAACACTATTCTGGGCTGGAGGCTGCTAGTTGTCCATTTTTGAAGATATTTATGATATTTCTGGCTCAAATTCTATAAAAACAACCATATACCTCTGTTTTGAGGGTTGAAAAATTTCAAGGAAGCCATTATATTAGCTTGAGAGCTCCTTCTCCTTCTTCTTCTTGTGCAAGCAACACATTGAGTTAACCTACCACCTTGAACCCATATTCATACATCATACAAACCTTCATACCTTGGTCTAGAAACCTTGGTTGAGCCTTGAACACCATAATTCAAGCTTGAGAGTGTGTTGGAGCTTAGTTTGATCACAAACAAAAAACTTACTCCCTTGAGAGGTAAAAGCTTGCTATCTTCCCTCTTGCTTTCATTTCTTTCATTTGCTACATAATTCTAATCGTTTTGTGTTGTTTTGATCCTATTTTAAGTGTTTAAGTTTGAGGTTTGAAGAGCTACCAAAAGGGTAGAGAGAGTTTGCTCTTTCTACACCTTTACCTATAGCTTTCTTTGTTCTCTACACTAATTTTCAAAGTTTAAAAAAGGCTAAAAACCATGCTTTGAGGTTTCAAAAGTGGAGGGGTTAGCCACATCTCCTTGTTCTTGTTTACTAGCCTTGTTTCCTTTCTTTGTTGTTTACCTTTTTAGGCTTTTTTCTTGCATTTTTAACCACTCTTTTTCATCACTTAAAGGTTGTTTTAGGGTTGTTCTAAGTTGTTTAAATAGTTCATGCATTGATTAGCTTGGTTGTTGTCTCATAAGTTTGCATACATAGCTTGTTGTCCATTATTCTAAGCTTTTCTTCAATTCATTTCCATGTTTAAGAACCTCATTTTAATAATCAACTTACCATTCATCTTTTTCATTTGAGAGTTGTTTCAGTCAGTTGATGGTTGTTCAAAATGTGAACTAGCGACTTACGTTTAATGGCTTAATCTCTACAGAGGTTCATTGCCCAAAGCAAGCCCCAAAAGGCCAAGAACACCTAAAACAGTCCTAAATCATGTCAAAATAATGCTAAAACATGTATGGAAT